AAGCATCAACGAACCATTCGTGCTTACAGAAAATGTGGAAAACAAAGAGGGGCGTGTCCAGACAACTATCTTGAAGCATCCGCAAGAATAAATAATTATCTTGGTTAATTAATGACCTCGTCCTTTCCTTTCAGTAGGAGATGATAAATCCAAACAAGGTCAAGTCGCATAAGGTAGGTTTGCAAATGGAAGGGACTGTTGTGTGCAATGGAAAAAGGATTACACAAAGTTCAAAGAAGCTGTGGTCTTGTCATCCATGCTAATGAATTTCCACCATCTCTCCGCTTCGTAAAGAAGCCATCATTGTAACTGGCGTTCCTTTTAAAGTCGGCAGAGGTGAGTCGGAGCGAGAGAAGCAACTGAATCGCGTTTGTAAGAGAACTGCGGATATCACTTGTACATGTCTGTACAGGTAGAAGGATGGTAGCTTCTCAGTACCAAGTGGTAGTGAAACCTTACTAGTGGGGCAGTAAACTGGAAAGCAGAAACAAATAGGCAATGTGCCTTTGAGGCACTCCTTCACGTAGACCATAGAGCCAAGTGGTTTAGCGTTTAAACAAATTTTCCTACAAAGTACATTTTCCAGATATTTTTTATCCTTGGGTGGAAGGCGAGTCATGTCGACTCACCTGTTCACTGGCATGATTGCCACCGCAAATGAATGCGACCCGAAGGCAACGCAAAATATGGGATGAAACGACCTTTGTTTTAAACACGCCTGGCAAAGGCGGGCTAATTCAGTTTTACCTAGGTTTGAAATGGCACTTGAAAAATCCTTCTGAGTGCTGCCCCTACACTATTATACCTCATGTTGTATTGCAGGGTGACCGAAATTTCGCATCTTTATTTATATTAAGGCTATTTAATAAAGTTTGTCGGAATTTCTTTGTGATTTTGATTATTATGAGAGGCTGTCATTCCCAGATCCAGTTATGCTACAGGTGGGTGCGTTGAAGAGGCCCTATACTTAAGCTGCCTACGCACCCGAGGCATTAACGGTTAGAATATGGAGGCAGCTGCAGTGTTTTGTTTTATCCAGAACATGCAAACCAGAGCATGTCACATCTCTCGCCAATGAAACGGACACTGACCACCAATAACTGACCCTGTTTGAAGGGAGAAATGTTGTAATCCACGGAAAACTTTGTCTCACTGCAGCCGGGCAATACAAAACCATATCCCGTTGACTCGGTGTAATTTTCAGGCTTCAGCAAATTGATGTGCCTAACAACTTCCGGTGCTGGAGCCATTTATTGCAGCTGCCAAAATGCGCACAAAAGGGGTGGAAGGCAGTCCTTACATTTAGCATCACTGTTTGCAGTTGGAAAGCCGAAATCATGGGTGTAGCGAGGGTGTTAGGGCTTTGCTTGAGCATAATTTTAAGCAAATTTAATTCTATTGATGAAGTTGTCTATAACTAGGTCGTACAGACCACCTGAGGGCTGTCTTGGTGCAACCATTATGGAGTAAGCCGAGCAACTTCCATTCCTAGCGTTAAAGGCGCAACTAAAACAAACCAGTAGGATTCTTAAGTTTTGCGGATCATTATCAAGAGTATTTCAGGGAATTAGCATATTTGGGCTTTCAAAAAATTGACAGGAGAGGTCATTTAAAGGTGTTAAACAAGCATGGTTACGCCTCTGCGACTACCACAGTGAGGAAATGTGTGAAAGGCAACTATCAGCTGGGCAGAAGTGACGGTGATAGGATAAAAGTAGCATCTTGAGGTCTATCAGTGAATGCAATTGCTGCAGATCTGACTGCGATTTCAGAAGGTGCTCTCTACAGGGTAAAATTATATCAGGGAAGAATCTCTTTGAAGACTGTGCTGGCCACTGATTAGCATTTTACAGGGAACCTATTCCATGTGTCGATTCCTTTACACAAAAATAACTCTCTAAAACATAGTTAGAAAGGGGTATGCAGCTATAACAAAATTTTATCCTATTGACGGAAGCGAGGAAGTCTTTCAACAAAATTCATTAAAATTTGACCATACCCGACGGCAGGTATTACGTAGAGTTCACAACTAAGCCATTTCTGCATCAAGCCATGGTCTGCGATGCGTAGTGCAATACGATGCTTGTATAACTCTCCGTTTTGGTGAAGAGCCACTTCTTGTCTTAGTCACTTTATCACTCCAGATGGGCTGATATTCGAGCCAGGTTAGTAGCCCAGACGCCTTCTGCATGTAGAATTTGTGTATATTTTGCTTAAGCATTTCGTCCTATTTTTTTGCAGGAAAGTTTTGGGGCGTAACACTAGATTAAGTAACCGAGCGATATAATTAAGTTCATCCTTTACTCGGATCAGATCCGAACACAATTAGATTTACTACATGGAAAGGCTGTTTCCAGAGATGCTAACATAATCAATTTGAAAAAAGTTCAGCGTTGGCTAAAATTGGCTGGCAAGGGCAGAAATAAAATAAGTGCGGAAAAACCACCACAGTCCACTAAAAATTTGCCAAAATAACTGTTTTTAAAATATCAACTTAATTGTTTTGACCTTTTTTTGCTTGCTTGAGAAAAGTGCTCTTATGCGCTACCAGTTTTTTTTTAAATTTGTCTGTATTTTATGTGCATACTTATTAAACAAAACGTTGTGTCAATCGTGCATCTAAATTTTTACTTTTGTATAATAATTTTTATTGCTCTAGTGAACAAATAATTTTTAAAGTTTGGTGTTGTCAGATAGTTTCATTTTTTTACTTGTTTAGTACCACGTACACGTTATAATCACTTTTAAGGTCAATCCGCCAAGAAACTGACTGTTAATTTTTGAAATGGTGTGTCCAGACACTAGTGCAAATCTTCACCTGATTCACCCATCAGCTTCTTATTCAAGGCATTGAACTCATGTAGAATGCGACCAAGTCAATCAAAGGAATCTGCACCATTTTCAAGTTCTACTTGCGCCTCCCAAAATTCTTTGTTTCTTTCTGATAATGCGCTTTCTTTAAGTCGATCTTTGCAATCACTCGGCGGACTTGGGAAGCCAATATCTGCAGTTCAACGACTTAGTCCCTGTGTTGAAAGCCTTACCAAAGCTATTGGGATGATTGTCAACTTCAAGGTTTCTGTCAAATTACCCCGTGTTTTCTGTCCTTTGCCATTCTAAGTATATTTTCATCTTATTTTTTTCCCTAGGATGATGCCTTTGCAGCAGCAGCTAACGTCCCGAAGTTAACGCGTCTCCTTGACCCAAATTTATCGACCCCAGAGAATCATTACAATGCCTGCGTTATCTTGCACAAACTTTCTGAAAAAGAGGCGTCTCGAAATAGCCTAGCCTACCATCCCCAAGTGAGCTTCACTTTGTTTCAGGTTCATGTCCACTAATAAGGTTGGATGACCGTAGTATCTACTTTTCTTCCCTTTTAGATAATCGAGAGCTTGGTTCACTTGCTTCAAACAACACAGGATATTAATACGCAGACAGAGGCTGTGCTGGCATTACGCAAACTTTGCTATGCTAAGCCGGCGCTGTCTGCAGTGCGTAGTGTTCTTTCCGTCCACAATCTTGTGGAGTTATTGAGGTGGGCAACTACTTGCATTGTTATTCTTTGAGTCCTCCAAGGGCGCTGTGTGTAGACACAGTTGGGAACCTTGATTCTGTGCTGAGTGGTGTTTTACACTGAAAGTACTTTATTTACCACTCCTTATCACTCGACTCTGCAAAAGGCTTATTTAGAAGCCAAGCGTCCCTAATAGAACATGCTATTCGAAGCAGACACTTTGAATCAAATCCTAATATCACTAGTCTTTCAATGTGGGTTAGACATCACACCTTACGGCATACAGGTGCACTGACTCCCCAGAATTTTCATTACTAATTGCAATATCCCGCTTAAGATTTTGGGGCTTGATAAAAATCTCTGAAAATTTGTAACAGCCTTTTCAATGGTCTTTGTGATGCTTTGCTCGGCTAAAGTAAACATTGGAACGCTTTTATCTACTATCTAGTCACCCAACGGAGTCGATTTTCCTCACCGCCCTGTCTATCCTGCATCGGCAAATGCTTTTCCTTCCGCATACGACTCGACCGGAGGTGAAGGATTGCGGTGGGCCCATCCAACTAGCCAGTCTCTTCACTCCTGAGAAGATTGCTGATCCTGCCTGGCTGACTGTCTGTGCTGATGCCATTCGTATGACTGCCTATGAGGACGCTGAAACGAAGGTGGGTGGTCTGATTCGTTTTAATTCTTGCTCGTTTATTTTTAAGAACGCCTAACAGTCGCCCACTAGAACACATAACCCGATTATGTATGGATGCTTTCCTCCAGTAGATGTTCTTTTGATAATTAGCCTCGATTCATGGGTTTTGGCCTTTGGTTTAAATCGTTCGGACTCCGCTTACATAAATACAAAAAAATAAAATTTTGTGCTTTAAGTCCAACCAATGTCGTTCATTCATCCATTTTAAGTATCAGAACATGTCTTTAATGAAGCAGCCTTTTGAAAGATTAAAATTAAGTGAAAATCCTTTGAGCACGCTCCTGTGTGTTTTTTCGAATCGCCCTTAAAAAGTGTACACTTTTATCTAAAGAAATCCTTGTAATCCAGCCTTTTTGAGTACTCATAGAGACAAACGCATGAAAAGGATTGATGAAAATGAAAAGTGCATTATCCCTTGACCTCTTGAGTACAGTAATTTAAATTGTTTGGAAAAAGTGCTTCTGATTATCTAAAACATAAAACTGCACTTCTAGTACCTTACGCGGTTGCGTTGCCTTTGCCAAATGCCAAAATAAGCCCTTTGGTTTATGCAAATCTCCGCTTCTTTTGGTGGTGAGAAACACTGAAATGACTCAGGGCTTTCTATCCTCCATTCAATTGAGGAGCTACTTTTCCACTGATCATTTACACAACTGAGTCTCGTTTGATACCTTTACTAAATCCACGCTTAAAGGTGCTACGGATGCGGCTGTGTCTCCTGGAGAAATGTTAATGTATTTTGGCTGATGTCAATTCCTAGTAAAGGCAGTAGAGTGGGGGGGGGGGGGAGGTTCTCTGTAACTGCTGGTTCTGCGGAATGCAGTGTCAGTGGTGTTATTGTCAAGTCAACTCGTCGGTCACAGTGCCAAAGGTGAGAGAGGTAGGCGATTACAAGGTGACTCATGACATTGCTGGGTCCTTGTGGTGGATCGCTCGAAAATGCAATCACAACATGGGTAGCGAGGTTTATATTTGACTTGAGATTTAAAATTCACCGAAATACTGAGACTAAAGGCTGACGCCCCCACTTACTGACAGAAGAAACCGACGAATGCGCAATACGTCGGAATCGCGTCAAGTAAATGTCTCTGATGAGCACTTCTTTTATCTCCGAATTGTAAAACATGAAGTACTTTTTCGGCTAGAACAATTCTAGGTTTGTTCTGCAGAAAGGTATGTCATGTTAAAACGAACGGCGGATGTTTTCATTTTGGGCCTTTTCTTCTTCCAACTCAACAGCTTTTTACAACTACCAGTAAATCATGCGCTGTTTAGGTGAGGTTCCCATAAAATTGTTTGATTTTTGTCTCCCAAAATCAAGTAGGAATGCAATAAGGCATCGGCGCTTGTTTTTGGCGCATTTGTGAAGGCGGCAATCCTCATATAAACCCCAAAAATTTGCATGCATGCGTATGTGCGTGCACACGAAGGCGGTGTTTGAATTTCTGCTGCAACAGATTTTGTCCACTCACGCACACAACGAGCACTCAAGTTGCGTGCCTCATCCACCTCTTCTTCCGCTCCGTGCGCAATCCACGCACCAAGTCACCTCTGTTCGCGGTCTTGTCCCAACAACTCTCCAGCTCCACAAAATGTACTCTACTTAAATAAAATTAGTAACTGTGCGAGGCATGGCGCCAACCTTGCAAGCATGCTTCGAAATCACGTAGATCCTCCCGTCTATTTATTTTGCAAATGTATTACTTAAAATACTCAATATTGGGGGTTTACGCTCTTTAAGTTCTTTTTTGCCTTGATTTCAGCTCATTCTACTGGATTGCGACATTGCGGAAAAAATCGTCTACCTCTTGAATATGGGCCCAAAAAATGAGAAATTGCAACACGCGCTTGCGCGTCTCGTCAAAGTGCTTAGTGCTTCAACTGAATGCAAACAAGGTTTAGTAGAGGCCGGTGCCGTTCAGGTTTGTCATATGTAAAGGTCTTATTTAATGCACTTGGCCATTGTAGGCGTTGACTCAACTCCTCTATTCTAAGCATAATTCACTTGTTCTGGAAACACTCTGGGG